ATTAATTTATAACAAAAATTTTATAATAAATTAAAGGATCTTTGAGAATTAATATAAGATAAGCGCGATAATTATTAGTATGACATAATTAATATTTGTATCTCATGATTTTGCAGAATTATTTTTTTGCAATAAAAAATACAGAGGGGATAAATAGAAAATTTCTATGTGATTGCGTCAACATGTGTCGCTTTTCTGTCAATTTCTATACAATAAGACGCACGAAATAAGAAGCTTCATGCATTCCAACTATGGAAATGTTAAAGAATAAATAATTTCTCACTCACCGACACCTGCAATAGCGGAGTTGCATAGCATATTGATCTGAAAAGAAAATATTCAAATTATGTATATACATATGTTTTATTTTAAAAATATATATACATATAGGATGTTTTGAAATCTGGAAAAACTGTGGAATATCTCATAAACAGTGCAGTTTAGAAAATACTTTTATTTTGCATACCTTAAAGTTGCCCCGATGCTTCCTTAGGCCTCCTCCTTCTCCTTTTCCTTTTTTGGTCGACTGTCATTGCTCCTTAGTAGCACTCGCGACACTCGCAAAACACGAATAATTACGATCGTCCGAACTTTACACGGCACTCCCGACGCGCTGAACTTTACACGACACTCCCGACGCGCGAAATTTTGCACGGCACTCCCGATGCGCGAATCGCACGCGTAGATTGTATAATGTCTGTGAACAAATAAATTATATACAAAATTAGAATAATCCTATTATTTCGCATCATTATAACATACACGATATAAATATGTAAGTTAGAATTAATGCAATAGATATATCCACGAGTTGAATTATATAAGAGACTTTTCTATAGTTATTATATTTTCTAAAAATTTATATATTTTCTCAATAACATTTTTTTCAAAAAAACATAATTTTGTTATATTGTTTTAAATATCTTTTTAAAAGTCGAGAAAAAATCTGTACATCATTTTTTAAAAATGTGTCTATATTAATTACTTTGAAATAATTATTATTGTACATTAGTATAGATATTTTCCTATATAGATATATATTTTGCATACCTCACAGTTGTCCTGCTGTCGCCTGATGCCTCCCTGAGCCTCCTCTTGGTCCTTCGTAGCACTCGCGACACTCGCAAAAGACGAATAATTACGATCGTCCGGAACTTTACACGGCACTCCCGACGCGCGGCACTTTACACGGCACTCCCGACACGACGCGTGAATCGCACGCGTATTTCGCGTACATTATATGAGAAAACTCTAATCGAAAATACAAAGCAACGATGGATTTGGCACTCGAGAATCTAGCAAACTCGCGAACTCGCGCGTAGCTTATCAGTACGACTACCTGTAACAAATAAAATACATACATATATTAGAGCGACCTTATTATTTTTTGCATTATAACATACATGATATAAATATATAAGCTACAATTAATTATAAAGATGGATGTATCTATAATCGCAACATATTTGTATGCAAAAATATTTTTCTCGTGATAAATAATTATTGGTAAGGAAAATGCCGTAGGACAAAGTTGGCGTCCCAAGGCATTTTCGTTGCTTTAATCAGAACTATTTGTTTAAATTCAACGTGTCTAGAACAATTGAAAATAAAGCCAGTTTCTACGAAATTAGACGCCAGCTTCGCACACATCCCCCCATCGACCATGAATTTGAAGGATGCGATTAAATTTCGGCATTTCTTATCACGCGTTAGTGAAATTGCCGACGTATGAATACGAAGAGGACGAGTATATAGATCCTATAAATTACGCGTTATACAGTCCATTCGGACGTGAGATAAAAATCGTTTTTCTCTCTTGCCCTCATCTAATCGAGCATCGCCGGCCATCTTTGTCGCGTTCCTTCTCCGAAGACGAGGACTGTTTCTTCGCGGTTTATAGAGATTTTGGACGAAAGTGCCGAGCTTTATCGACAGCCGAGTATCACAGTCGGAACCCAAAGAGAAAGAAAGAGAGAGGGAGAGAGAATATGAAGTTCGTTCCTTGCGTCGCGAGATCAACGAAAAGTGATCTCTATCTTGAGACTCAAGTCGACTAATCTCGGCAGAGCGTCTCTCTTTCTAAACGATATCTTTCTAGTTACGTTATGAATAGAGATGGGAAATTTAATTAAATATTGTCGGGGTTGATCGACATTGAAGGGACTTCTTAGCTATAGTTTGTACTTTGCATAATTCTAATTAACATCAAGAGAATGGCAGTAGCATGTCGGGTACAGCAGTTTCTTATCTGATTTGTCGCTTTTGTAATTTTTATCAGTTTGGACATTTTTTTTCTCAATTCTATTGAAATTAGAATTATTCAATTATTTTACATTTCTTCGCAAACATATCTAAGTACTTTTGTTAGGTTTGAGTTACTTAAATCAAATAACCGTAATTAATTATATACCATTATTTCACAGATACATAGAAAAATATAGCGAGAAACGTAAAAAAAAATCACATATTCCTAATTATTTTATCGGCCTCTTGCATCAGCTCCCAATAGAGATGACATGAAAAAATAATAAAAATGAAAAAATAATAATAATAATATAAAAATGAACCTACCCTAACTTAAGATCGGTCAAACAGACAACGGCAGCATTCCCTTAAGGATCCAAATACGATTTCTTTCGAGTTGCAGTTATAAATAAAATACTGCGAATATTCCGATCTAATTCTTCGCGAAAACTTGGCGATTCGAAAAAAAAATCAGAACGTTGGCGCCAAAAACGTCTTCATCTTTGGAGCGTAGTGCCGATAAAGGCGGGTAGATGATAGGGTTATAAAGTCCCGCCGTATAGCTCGCGACTGCACGACTGGAATGGCTGATAGCCCTGAGCGAGAGTTCGTTGCGGAGGGTTAAAGGCATAGGAAGCCCGACGCTGACGATCATAAAAGAAATCATCCCTGCCAGCAGCTTCTCGAATTTGTCGGCAAAAAAATATTTCCATCCTTATCGTGAATATTCAAAAATCGGTCAAGTTGGAGATAAAAGCGCAATGTCGAGCTCGGATTTATATCGCGAGCACTCATTTGTCATCGGCTAATTTAGCGAGCTTATCGAGACCGGAAACACCAGCGAAACAGAAGGAAACAGTTCGCGAAACTATATTCCTCTATTTGTTATACAGTCGCGTTCGCGGACTCCGCGATATTCGGTCTAAAACTACACAAGCGGAATTTACACGCTGGATGGATGCCGTTCGGTAGATATGTCGGTTCCTTTTTTTTTTTTTTTGCGGATTGATATTGAAAGAGATACGTGTTGCGTGGGTGGAAGCAGCAAATGCTATGTGCATCATAAAGGCGAGCTATTTCTTTCTGGCAGTAAAGAATGCATCGTGTACATTTCCACGTTATAAATTTTTGGATGTCAAAGTACCCGATGCTTATGATTTTTACCAAAATCTATCATAAAAAATTTTAGAAGATAAAAATTAATACTCGCGTATATAAATACAGATACGGAGATAGATAAGTTTTCATATAGATATTAATTTTTCTATAAAAGAATTTTTCTAAATACAATACATATAAAAAATATATTATACAATATAATAAATATATTCTAATAAATAATAAATATATTTGCAATTTGCGGAAAGATATCTTCTTATATGTCAAAGTACCCGATGCTTGTGATTTTTACCAAAATCTATCATAAAAAATTTTAGAAGATAAAAATTAATACTCGCGTATATAAATACAGATACGGAGATAGATAAGTTTTTATATAGATATTAATTTTTCTATAAAAGAATTTTTCTAAATACATATAGAATATATATTATACAATATAATAAATATATTCTAATAAATAATAAATATATTTGCAATCTGCTGAAAGATATCTTCTTATATGTCAAAGTACCCGATGCTTGTGATTTTTACCAAAATCTATCATAAAAAATTTTAGAATATAAAAATTAATACTCGCGTATATAAATACAGATAGAGAGATAGATATGTTTTCATATAGATATTAATTTTTCTATCAAAGAATTTTTCTAAATACAATACATATAGAATATATATTATACAATATAATAAATAATAAATATATTTGCAATCTGGTGAAAGATATCTTCTTATATACGCATGATATAATAATAATAGTATAATGATAAGAAACTGTCGGAGAAACTAGATTTTTACGATAATCCCTGTCTATTTAAAGGCTAACAATCCGCGACTGTTTTAGGACGGCGACTTAACGAAACGATAAAACGCCACGGCACGAGTTTGCGAAAGTTCTTCGCGGTACTTCGCGTCAACTTCCGCCTGTCTCGTCCGCGGTATAACGGCCGTTTTGAAGAAGCCAGTTTTATTTATCGCGCCGTCTTCTACCGTGTGTGTCTTTCGTCTGAAAGTATCTTCCATCTTGCGCGAAGAACCGGGAGACGAAGACGGAAATTGTTATCGCCTCCGCGACAACGGATACTTTCGTATTAAGGTAGAAGCTTTCCGAAATTTTTCGGAAGAGAGAGAGAGAGAGAAGGAGAGACCCGACCTCTTGTAACCGATTCAATTTGCCTAATGAAGAAGACAGGAGGAACGACGGGGAACTATAAAACGCGGGCTTTCTATGATTCACTCTTCGAATTGATTTTTTCGTATACGATGTACTCCCGTATTCCCTTACACGAATGTCATGCGACGATACGAATTGCTTTTTCGCTGCGGATTTAGATAAAGACTACGGGATATAACATCGAACATAATTTAAATCCTTCGTATAATTTATAGAGGTGGAGGGTTACTTAAAGCTGATTTATTCGACGTATAATTTTTCAACTTCTTTAAACGTAAAAGATTTCTCAAAATATTGGACACAAAAATCCTCAATAACATATTATTTTTCATATTTTTACCTTCTTATCGCACACAAAATTAATTATTCCTATATATCTACTCTCTGATGTATGATTTAAGAATATTTTTTTCTTCGTCTATCGCAGCTTCCTTATATAAATTATGCTTTTTTCTGTCTGCAGAATTCTATACGTCACAACCTGTCGCTGCACAGCAGGTTTATGCGAGTGCAAAACGAGGGCACCGGCAAGAGTTCCTGGTGGATGATCAACCGAGATGCCAAACCGGGCAAATCCGCTCGTCGCAGGTATATAAGTCAGGACGGTTGATAACAATTTCAAGGTGTCCAGCAGACTCAATAAAAAAAATAGTAAAATTTCCTCGCTTTTCCCTGACAATTCCAGATTGATAAAATTCCCTGATATTGTCCGGATTTCCCTGACTGCTAGACACCCTGAATTTGTTCGTCCTTTCGTGTTTCATCTCGATCACGAAGTCTACAATATCGCGCGTCGTGTTCATTTTGCAGAGCCACCACTATGGAGAGCACCGGAAGTCTGGAGAAGCGACGCGGCCGCTCGAAGAAGATCGCCGACGCGCTGAGAAACGGCGGCGGACTCTTGGAACCCACGTCTAGTCCCAGCAGTAGCGTCGGCGAGGGTCTAGATTTGTTCCCGGACAGTCCCCTGCCACCTGCCAGCGGATTCCAGCTCTCCTCTGACTTCCGGTACGTTTTGTCACGGTCGGACTTTAATTTTCGCTCGAGCGAGAGTTAAATATCAATTATAAATTTTTTGAATATATATACAAAAATTTATATTAAAAAAAATATATAGGTATATACATACTACTTTGATATATATTTTTTTTTAACCACGGGAGCCTCAATGAATCGAGCAAAATCCGAATTAATCGAATAAATTTTTTTTTATTTCAAAAAAAATGTCAAGTATGCGAATATCAGTCAAAGGAAAATTCAGAATAGTGATTTTAATTATTTGGAGATATAAATACGATGAATGTAGGGGTTAAATATCACATATATATCATATGTATATATACATATACATTCATATATCATATACACATGTTACAAGAGAACTTGTATATGGAGAATGAATTTCGGTAGCGGAAACAATATAAAACGAAACGAAATTCTTTTATTCAAGTCCTCGTGCTTCAAGCAACGCCTCTTCCTGCGGCCGATTGAGTCCTATCCCGGCGGTTCTCGGGGAACCAGACTGGACGCCGACCTACGCGCCTTCCTACAGTCCGGAACAGCAACTAGGTACATATATTTAACACCAATCTCCCTTTTCTTTCGCAAATTACACCACATGACGAGTAAAGCTCGATCACGACTCTACACGAGGAGAATTTTCTCTTAAAATTTACCCTGAAGATCATGGTAATCGTGCGACAATATATATGGTATTGGAAGAATCTTATACGAGTTTCTCCGATTAATATTTAGTACAATAAAAAATATTAATATGTCCATAGTAAAATTAATCGAACATATTTTATATCTCATTGTGATAGACACTAATATATATTTTTATTGCGATGAATATTAATTATAGAAACTCTTATAAGATTCTTTCAATATTATGTTGTCTTATTGTTAGATTACCATGATTTTCGGACAGAGTGTCCAGCAGACTCGATGAAAAAAATTCCCTGACCAAAAATCCAGATAAATAGTAAAATTTCCTCACTTTTGCCTGACAATTCCAGATTTATAAAATTCCCTAACAATGGTTTTCCAGACCGCTAGACACCCTGAATATGGTATTGGAAGAATCCTATAAGAGTTTCTCTGATTAATATTTGCCACAAAAAAAATATTAATATGTCCATAGTAAAATTAATCGAACATATTTTATATCTTATTATTGTGATACATAATATCTATTTTTATTGTGATAAATATTAATTGGGAAAACTCTTATAAAATTCTTTCAATATTACAATGTCTTAGATTACCACGATTTTCAGGGTAAATTCTAAGAGAAAATTCTGTGTAATATTAAAACGAATTAGAAGATAAAAAAAGTGCGATACGTGATTGATACGTGGCAAATCGTGCTCGATAGCAGACACGATCCTAGCGGGCAACCTGGCAGAGACGATGAAACTGGAACCCTACCAAATCTATCAGACGTCACCGCCGGCCAGCCATCAGCAGCAAACCGGGCCACCGCCGCCTTACTACGAAGCGCAATATCAGAGGAACAACGGCCTACGTACCCCATCGTCGGCATCCTACAGTCTGCCACCTACCCCGCAATCAGCCAATCAGCAGAGATGCCCGCTTCACAATCTACAGCCGTGCGCCTGTCAGATGGTGAGTCCGTTTTTGGCGGATTTTTCGCGCGCGAAAACGCCACAAAGGAGGACGTTTCGGCGGGTTTTTATATTGCGCACGTTCGGCCTGGCAGTGTTGCAAAATCAATAAGGATCGTGGATATACGTACGTTTTATAACACATACATATGTAGGAGTGCCTGTTTAGTGGTACAGTATTCTATATCTAATATTACTCGTGCGAGAGACAGCGAACGAAAGCGATTGATACAAATATTCGTCGTTTTGTGGACTTTAATTAAATGTGTGATATATACGTAATAGAGAGGCATTGTCGCGAAAGAATCGAGAAATCTTTTTTTTTCTTTTTTACGGACATTTAATACGTTATTTTTCACGACGCCGCACGTATTTTCGCAGGAATATTTTTGTTGTCTCGTGTGAAAAGATCTGCAAGCATTCGATGGAAGCTTATTTACATTTCATTATTGAAACTGGCTTAAAAAAGCATCATATGCTTATGAAATTGTATCGAAACGTATTTTCGATAACGATGCAAACGCAAACATACTCGAGCCAAGCTCGGGGACAATCCATCTCTTGTAATTGAGCAATTTTCGAGAGATTTTTATATTACTTATTTCTTATTTACATGAGTTAGTTATTTTATTAACAAATATAAAATACTCTTTGTATTTTATTTCTCCAAGAGTTTAAAAATTTACGCAGCAGACCGAATAACGAAAATGTTTAATTTTTCGAGATTTATTTTGCAATAAATTACAGTTTTTTAATATATATTTACGAAGCAAAAAACACTATTAGAATAGTATATTTTGCGGCGCGAAAATACGTTTCATATCTCGTTTGTGAATTATATTAATTATACATATATTCAACTTTTAACATACTATTATGTATTTGCTTTTTCACGTCTAATTCGAAAATTAGAACCTGAGCCCCGGAATGTCACCATCCGGCATGTCGCCCTCGTACCAGCAGAGCGAGCCTAGCCCTACGACGCTCAACAGCAATCAGCAGCAGACGCTCCAGTATATGATTCAAACGCAGCAGCGCCAGCAGCAGCAGCAGCAGCAGCAACAGTCGCAGCACCAGCCGCAGCACCAGCCGCAGCATCAGCCGGCGCAAACTGGACCAGCTGGTCCCAGTCCGCCCAACACGCCGACACCCTGTCCAGCGACACCCAGCACCATGATGGGCCAGCTGATGGGCGCGCTCAATCATTCCGCCCTCCTCGACGATCTTAACATCAACATCGAGGCGATGCACGGCGGCTTCGACTGCAACGTCGAGGAGGTGAGTCTGATCATGTCGAGTCTCTTACTACTGACGCCGCTTTTTTTTTTTTTTTTTTTTTTTTTTACATATTTTCGGAATTTGTTTATATTGAAATCACAGGGTGTCCGGCGGATTCGATGAAAAAAATTCCCTGACTTTTTCAGATTTTTCAAGATAGAATTTTAATTTTTTAGTACTGACTTTTTAGTACGATTTTTTTCCAAATGTATAATCTACATGATATAACAAGATGAGAATATAAATTGATAAACACGCTGTACGAATCGATTTTTAACACAAAATTAACGTACTGGGAGTCAAGGAAAAGTTTATATTTATTTAATGAAAAATTTTACATTATTGCGACAAATGTAGAATAATGTGAAAAAATTCAGATAAATAGTAAAATTTCCTAACTTTTTGCCCTGACAATTCGAGATTTATAAAATTCCCTGACAATACCTGGTTTTTCAGATTTTCCTGACCGCTATAGACACCCTGAACCATTTTCCCTATTTTCACTGGGTAAAAGAATTTTTGTGAGCCATAAAATATAAATATGAAGAGCTAATTAGTTTTTCTTGATTCCCGCACAGAGAGAATTAATTATTGGAATTTACTTTGAAAATTATGATATTAGAAATGCAAATACAAAATATTGATATTTATAAGATATAAAATATGTTCGATTAATTGTGATAAATGTTTAATCGAAAGAACTTATTTTTATACTTCAATCATTATTAATTTTCTTATTTAGAAAATTGATTTTTTAATCTATGCAGTAAATATAATTTTCCTAAAAATATTATATTGTGTAAAAATATGCCAAGTAAAACAATTTTCGCGAGTCATAAAATATAAATACAAATATAGAAAATCAATTAATTTTCCTTGATTCTTATGATTTAAAATCCATACTTTGATCATTATTATTTTCTAAATCAGAAAATTGTTTTCCTAATTAATGTAGTAAGTATTATAATTTTCCCAGAAAAATATTGCTGCGTGTAAAAATATATGAAACAATTTTCACGAATCATAAAATATAGAACGCCAATTAATTTTTCCTATGATACAAAATCCATACTTCGATCACATCATTAATCTCTTATACGGAAAATTATTTTCCTAAAGACATTATAATTTTCCTAGAAATATTATGCTATATAAAAAATAAAGGCAAAAATTAAATAAATAATTTGAACTCTGCGATTAAAAAAAAAAATTCTAATTTACGTTAAGATAGAGAAGAGAGGAAGCGAATTAAAAAAAAAAAAATATATATATATATATATACCTATAAAATACAAAAATAAAAAATAAAAAAATATATAAATACAAGAGCGGCGACTCGACACGTGAATTGCAGGTAATCAAGCACGAGCTGTCAATGGGCGGCACGCTGGACTTCAATTTCCAGCAGGGTGTGATGGGCACGGTGCAGGTGAGCGACGGCAACGTCGTCGGCCAGAACGGCGGCGTCGTCTCCCAGAACGCGGGCGTCGTCGTCGGCACGACGACCGGAAACGCGCCCGCGGGCGTCTACGTCAGCACGAACGCGGCCACCCCCGCCGCAACCCCCTCGTGGGTTCACTAGCAGTTAACCCCCCTGCCCTCGACACCCCGTCGTCCTTGCCGATGCCGCCGTTGTCCGACGGATCGCTGGATAACTTCCGCGGGACGACCGAAGGGCAGCTCATCGGTGAGTTCCTCGAGATTTCTTTAGACTTTCGTGTGTTTAGACCGCCGATGAGATCCGGTAATTATTATTAGATGTGGCGAACGCGGTCTTATATGTATGCAGATCAGGACGCTTCTATATCGACTACATAATGTCAAGCGTAACTAATATGGCAGCCAACTCAGGCCGATTTATTCAATGTGCGCCAGCGCAGATTTTTAATTTTTTTGACAGTTTTGTGTTGGATCTTGTGCACAATTGAAAAAAAAATGTTAAAAATAAAGCGTCGGAATAAATATTGAATATTAAGAATAGTTTGTATTAAATTATTTTTAAAATAGTGAAATATATTATAATAAATATATTATAATATGACAGGCCTGAGAGTTGGCCGCTATATTGGTTTAATAAGGGTCCTGACCTGTGTATCGATATCGATCGTACGGCGGCAGTTGTTGCGACTGCATTCGGATTTCTTCGGCATGGAAATCGGAAAAATTACTTGTGCTTACACTTGTTAGAAAAGTCATATATACATACATAGATTTAAGTAGTTTAATTTACACAAAGAAGATTCCACACACGAGATGATGATATTGAAGAGTTTCTAAATGTCATCCGTTGTTATACTTTTGCTTTATATTAGGGTTAGTAATGAGAACTCATCATTACATATATATATTTAATAATTATTTCACACAGTCGAGACCGAATATTCCACGAGACAGAGAGAGTGATCGAATCGAAAATCGATTAGTTTATTCCATTTCTTTTTCGGACTTTAATAAACGGAATAATAATCCCGATTAATACCCGCGCGCAATAATTTCATTCGAATAATGTGTCACGTGCTGGGAATCACGCAATTGTCTAGCGTCTATATAAAATATACACATGTGATGGTTTGCAAAATCGATGACGCATCCATCCTGATTAATCGGTTCCGAAGGTCCGTTCGGGAAACGAAGATAGAGAGGATCTCTCTCTCGCGCTCTCTCGCGGCTCGATCGCGAAACTACGAAGAGAGAAAGATATTCGGGCGGATGCAAAGAGGGACCGACAGAGGGCGGAGGAGAGGGCAGGTCATTGATTGCCCCCTCGTGCACGCAAAATAATATTTGCATACTCGTGTCATAACAGTGCTCAGCCGTATGGTATTTAATAAATCGCTTCGACGTTTTGTGCCTCCGTCCCCCTCGGCCACCCTCTCTCCCACCCTCGGCTCCGCTATTTCGTACGTGCCGACACATTCATATAGCGGCAATCCGTGTATCCGACGGTGTTTTGTGCGAAATCGCTATTGACTTGGACGCGATAACAATTACATCGCCGCGGGCCGCGAATTTTATGGAAAGCCTTAACACAATATTGCTGATCGCGATCGCGGGAAAACAGTTGCATTTTGTTTCACGAAGAAGCGAAGCGGACAATTACGCGAGTTTGCGGAAAAACACACTTGCGGCAGGTCTCGGTTTTTCTCGCTACCCGAGGTAAGGTTTTGCGTTTAACCGTTCGTTTAAGGTGATCCTAAACGTCCTTGAGGAATCTGTCATTTTCGTTCTGTTTTATCGACAAAATGTGAGGTTAGATTGGTTTTTTACCTGAAATTAGAACACTTCGCTTTTTGTTAATATTAATACTTTAATTTGTACAAGATCGATCAATCTTTTTCCTATACAAATTAAAGTATTAATGTGAACAAAGAGCGAAGCGTTCTAATTTCGGGTAAAAACAATCCATATAGCCAATAAATAGATTTATAGCTTATCTAACCTCATTTTGTCGATAAAACAGGAAGGAAATTTAGATTAGCTTAGGATCCCCTTAACGACTAGCCCATTTTTTTCATCGTATATATACGTATATACATATATTATATATAATTGCGCTCATTCGATGTAATTTTCATTATAGATAAGAAAGAATCTAGCTGCGATGTCTGTCCAAGCAGAGCGGATGTTATAGTTGTTTATTGATTTGTTTATTGATTTAATAAAAATTGGATTTAATATAATATATAATTTGGATAAGGTATGAAATAGAAAGAGTAGATTTATGTATAGAAGCTCGAAGCTCGAGCTCCTATAGAGCACCAAAAGAGCGAAGAATGTACAGTAGTGTAAAAAACAATCTGGAAACTGTTTTGGAAATAAAATTGACAGATGGAAGGTATTGAAAAGAGTTGCACACCTGTGTCTTCAATGTATATATTTCACGTTTCGACGAGCGAAAATTATTTTTAAAAGCCAAGCGAAAAGCGCAATTTACACAGGAGACTGGTCGACTATTTTAGTCGATATATATACAGAGTATTCATTTATACGGGGGTGCTTAAATTTCGCGTCGCTTTGCGGCGACCTTGGATGATTTATACACGAAATTACGTTGATAATCGCGTCCAGATAATGCGATCTGTCTCTTTGCTTCTGTTGGCCAGCGATCTCTCTACGCTTAAAGCTTATGTTAAAAATTTAAACGTTTTCACGTTGTCCTCCCTCTACGTCAAAGTTCCTTTTTTTCACACTTTAGTCTCTCTCTCTCTCTCTCTCTCTTTCTCGATAGAGGAAGCGGTGTAAAAATGTAACGTGATTTCTCGCGAAAAATCGCTTTTTGCTGTTAATACTTTGCCGCAACACGACTAAAATAACCTCCCACCCCGAGAGCTGCCAGCGCCTTTTAATCTTTAGCGCACGCACAAGTGCGGCGTGTAATTACAGCTTTATCCTACCATCTCGTCGTCGTCGCACTAATGGAAATAAAAATGCATATACGAATGCACGGATAAACGTTCGACGATATTAATCATCTGCTAGTAATCGCGTTCTAGCGTGTATTTTCCGGCGTCGAGTCGCAACTGGATGTTGCCGACTTCCTTTCTCTCTCTCATTCTCACTCTTCATCCGCCGCGGTTGCGTGATCGCCGCAATAATGTTTTTTTCTCTCTCTCTCTCCCTCTCGAGTGTTGCAAAAAGAAATGTCGAGAATGAAGTGTAATCGTCCACCGATTCATTCGCCAGCCGGTGCAATGATTCGCAAACTAATTGCCGCGATATTACGCTCATCTCTTTTTGACAGCAGAAAAAAAATGGGAGATCGAATAATTAAGAGAGTTTCGATACTGATAAAGAGTAAAAGTCCAATTAAAAATTAATCAAGAGAAAATTAAGTTGAGAAAAATTGGGTGGAAAAATTATGTTTTTAAATTAAATGTCTCGAATGACGCTGATCCCGATTTTTTCGCGAGTCCCTTGATCTCGCCCTCATCATCGAGCGAAAGCAAAGCGCAAAGCGGCAGACAGGGAAAGAGGGGCGAAAAAAATGACGGCGGGCGACTCATTTTTTTTCCTTCCGGGGGAGCCTCTTTTGGCGATTGCACTCACATGGCAGCCTACTTTGTTGTCCCTACGGGCGCGGATATTATTTACACGGCGGAATATCGGCCCGAGAGAGATATTAGCTTCTAGAAAAATATTTTTCAGAGTGGCGAACGCGCACGAGCGACGAAAAAATACCGCCCCCGGGCTTACGCCCCGGTATATTAACGCTTCCGGCGGCCGTTCCAGTAGTTTGTTGTGCGTATGAAAACTGGTGTGTGCACGTTGATCTCCGTTAGTTCGCGGAAGGGGATAGAAAAATCGATGTCTTTTTGTTTCCTGTCCCCTTCTTTCCCCGTTCCCTCTTTCGCTTGATTCTTTTTTTTTTTTTCTTCGTCAGACTGCATATCCATTTACCGTCTCGCGAAAAGGGCATAAATTCGAGCGTCTGGATAAAACCGATACTCGAAGCGAAGCGGAACCGGAGAAACGCGACGCGTAAGAAACGCGCTCCGAGGCACGAACGTTTCAACGCGAAACGTCGTGACGGTGACGGGAAAAATTCCGCGGTAATTCTTCGGTGGAATCGGTGGAAAAATATTTTCAATCATTTTCAACCGGGCGAGAATTTTCTCCGCGCCCAAAGTTAGGCGGAGTAACCAAAATTGATTTATCGAAGCCCGAAATGTGCGATACAATTGATATACGATTTTATCCGGAAAAATCAGCTGATCGCGCTTCGCAAAATGCAGAATAAAAGCGGAATAATTTTCCATTCTATTTTCCACTATCCGGCGCAATGACGAAACGCCATTCTTTCTCCCTCCGAGCAACGAGAGATAACGAGAGGGAGAAAGAGACACGGGAAGGCTGATAATCCTGGAGGATTGCTCCGTTTTATCGAGCACGACGATAAAGGAACGAGCATCGAAGTCCGGCTTTATCCCGCCGTCGCTTCTGTAAAACTACTCGCGAGAGAGAGAGTAGTCGAAACTATGAGAAGAGCGTCCCTCATTAAATGGGAGCACGCTCGGCGAAACTTTCGTCGTCCGAAATAACAATGGAGTCTCTCGAGCGCCAGATTATTTCGAGATCACACGGTACATGACTCTAATTGAACGACTTCCGGTCGGCGTCGCGCTAATGGAGAACAGATTTTCAGATTTTCCGTGCCCGTCCGCAGTAACTCGCGGTCGAAATCCGCTTGTCCCCGATCGGTTCCCTTTCTCGCGCAAAACTTCCAAGTTGAAATAAAAAGTATCGAGAGAGGGAGAAGAATAGAAACAAAGAGGGCAAGACTAAGATCGAGAGAACATGTAGGTTGTGGGGTGAAAGAGAGGGAGGTTGGATCTTCGTTCTCTCCTGACAAGGTTGGGTGGGGCTAGAAATCTCCCTTCTTTCTCTTCTTTCCTCCACCAACTTTATAATTCTTGCGACGCTTTTGGGGAATGAGATTGTCGGCAGCGAGGGCGAACTAAGGGGGTGACTGGGCTTTAAGGTAGTCCGCTGGCGCCAGTGACGTCTGCCGAATAGCTGCTGACTCCCAGACTCCTGCAGTTTCGGTTAAGTGGTTCCCTTTTGCCCCACTTGAGCGTCTGGGAGCGCACACCTTCATCCTCCTCGTCTATTGATAACAAGAGTCGAGTCGATTTTTCATCGATCGCGGAAAAACAGCGCGGCTATATTTTCTAGCAAAAACTTTTTCTCCTCGTAGGTCAAGGTTTAGACATTCGCACGCCACGAGGGATTTTTCCTATACCCTTCGCACCAATTTTCAACTATTTCAAGGATTTCTTCAACTATTTACTATTTAGGATTTCGAAAATTACCAACTATAAATTCTATGAATTATTTGACCAACGAGAAAAATTTCCTATTTTGTAAGTATAACGAAAAATTTTTCTATTCTGTATTTTTTAACTATTTCATATATACAGAGTGTCCCAGAACTGGCGGACGAATTTTTAATGGCGGATTTTTCCTCCCCTTCGCACAAATTTTCAACTATTTCAAGTATTTCTTTAACTATTTACTATTTAGGATTTCGAAAATTACGAACTATAAATTCTATGAATTATTTGACCAACGAGAGAAATTTCCTATTTTGTAAGTATAACGAAAAATTTCTGAAACATTTTTCTATTCTGTAATTTTTTAACTATTTCATATATACAGGGTGTCCCAGAACTGGCGGACAAGTTTTTAATGGCGGATTCCTGGTATATCATTCGGAGACGATTTTTTGGAAACTAACAATAAGTCTTGTGGAAAATAAAATATTAACAAAACTGCACTGTAAAAAATGTGTTAACTTGACTAAACCTTTCAACTAAATATTTACTTTGTTAATTGAACACATAAAAATATTTATATTAAATCTAACAAAACGTATATTTTACTTAAATACTAATATATGTTCAATTAACAAAATAGTGATTTAATTGAAAGGTTTAGCCAAGTTAACAAATTTTTTACAGTGTACAATTTTAGATAGAGTTTGCTTTAATAAAATTTCAATATAAGGCTTATTGTTAGTTATAAAGATACATAATGACAAAAATTGAGAACATGCTAAAAATGATGCCTCCCTTAACATTTTCACTAAGGAAAAATCATCTCCAAATGATACCAAAAATCTGCCATTAAAAATTTCTCCGCCCGTTCTGAAGCACCCTGTAATAATTAAGAAGATACTATCGAAATCAATTTTTGATTCCGACATTTGATATATTATCCAATAATATGCAAAATTATGAAAAAGGAAAGAAGAGCTATAATTTACTTTTAATCTGCGAAATTGTTTGATCGATGATTAATAATGACGAGTTACATTAAAAATTATTTGATACAGATAACTTTTAACGTGTTGGGTAAAATATGTATGAGATATGATTAGCAGCGAACAAAATGCTTAATCTTCATTTAATGGTTAGCGACACCACTGCAATCTTGATGAATCGATAGCGACAAGAGAGACGTGCCACACGTGTCAAAATTAATTACATTTTGCAGATGATGACTGACGTAATTGGACCTCCGAACGGTTGGTTTATTAAAGTTTCGAGTACTGCTGGATCATCGCCAATCTTACATTAGTAAGCAAAAGAATTCCAGTCATTTAATCCTCGACTTAGCTCGTTCAAGTCTCATATTCAAGGCCATTTTATTATATAATTAATCGAAACAAACTATTGTATGATTTTCTATAAAACTAGATAATTTAGAAAATATAATTATATTTCCAAAAAATTAGAATATTCGACTAGGAAAATGTTCATCAAAACAAATAATCATTTTTGATCGTAATAATAATAAACGCACTTAAAATTTTTTTTAAACTTTCAAGTTATTACTTGTGAAACTTACGAGAATCAAAGGATTTCTAAACATTTTTAAAACCCGTTTGACCTCGGTACTTTATGCTGGATAAAGTTAAATGCATCCACGTGTATTCCCCGGTGGAACGTATGAGTCGACGTCACTCTCGATGAGAAGGGCTCGAGTTTTTTTTTTCTGGGTCAAGGCTCAACCCTTTTGTGCTATCCTGCAGTCTCGGAACACGTGTCTTAAAAAATGGTTAATTGAAGAGGCGTATCATATTGAGCGCTCATTTTCCATCAGAGAGCTTAGAGAGAAAGATCATCGCATAAACTTATTCGAGATAAAATATTGGAGTAAAAAAAGTCTGCAAATAATTCAACGATATATAAAATTATGCTGTTTTTGCTTCAATTGACACGTCGTCTTTTTCAGCCTGGTTTTTCCTCAGATAATAAAATCACATCTCGACACACGACGTGCGTAAAAGAAATAAGCGGCGTCGTTGACCTTGGACCGCAGTTTTCTTAGATAAGTATAATTCTTTAGCAACGAGACGTCGTTAATGATTGTTATTATAAGCTCGCGCGGACGGATAACATTATCGCCGTGGTACGACATTGCTCTCGGTTACGGCCAATTAATCTCCCCTGACCCAGAAAGGATTTGAACTATACGTTTAGAATGGCCAATGTTACATCCCGGGAAAAATCGCCGAGGTGGGTTGTAGGCCGCGCGCAAGATCGCCGTTAGTGTCACCGGGATGAATATAAAAGTAGCGACGATACGTCTGGCCGACTGCGAAATTTAAGATGAATCGGTATGTTCTTGGCCGGCGTTCCACTTTCGGAAAGTTTCGTTTATTCGTTCTCTTTCGGAAGGACAAATGTCGTTTTGAATGCAACTGGATAGCGCTCTCGAGTATTTAGGTTGGATTGCAGTCGGGATTGTGAACAAGTTGACCAGTTTGGAAGAAAATTCAACGCGCCGGGGAAGGAGAATTAGATATAAATTATTTCCCTTTCCGAAATACGGATAGATTTACAATAAACGACTAATGCAAGTGCACGTACGAGAGGCGTGCATGAACATCGTGGTTTGATTAGAATTTCTAATGGGGTGAATGTAACTTACAACGTAACGTCAACGTATTTACAACGCGTGGCTACCTTGTTACGTCAGACATAAATATTGTTCACGAATTCCTCGCTTTAGAATTATTTTACAAACTTACATATTACAGTTATTTCCGATTTAAATATTTCTAACATATTTTATCTTTGATTAAATAAACAGTCTAATATTTATAATTTACAATCGTAAGTAGCGAAAAATGCCATTTTATCCTAGAATCCTATAGCTGTTCAAACTTTTCAAGTATATGTTTAAAATTATGTTAGGAGAGTTAGGAACTCACATTAAAAATATACTTTTCAGTCTATACTTTATTTGAAGGAAACAATTTCGAGAGAGCATCTGTAACTTAAAACCATTTTACTAATTTTTTTCCAGATAATTTCCTTTCACTATCTGACAAAATAAATTTTCTCCGTAACACTACACAGGGTGTCCGACATATAGTGTTATACCGAAAATGTATAAGTAGATCTCATTATTTGGTGACGATTTTTCCTCAGCAAAAGTGTCGAGGGAGGCCATCATTTCTTGCATGTTCCCAATTTTTGGTATCATGTATCTTTATAACTAAACTTTAAATTAAAATTTTATTAAAGTAAACTGTACTTGAAATTAATTGGAGAATGCTTTGTTAATATTTTATTTCCACAAGGCTTGGTTTGCGATAAACCCTTTATTTTCAGTAGCTTATAACTCGAATATTTTTGTCGAGGAAAAAATGTCTACAAATAACAAGATCCACTTGTATATTTTCGATGTGACACCTTATGTCAGACACCCTGTATAATAGACAAAAAAATTTGTTTTCGAGTGGCAGAGATTACGTCTCTTCTTCGTTTATATCAATATAGATTAGATTATCAACAGATGATTGATAATTTTAATAATAGCAAACACGTGTCTTATTGGGTTTGGTTTTTCCAATAAAATATACTCTCGTGATTTTTCCCTCGCGATTTGCACTCGCGTTTTTATCGTGTGTCCGAAATCTGCGCCTATTACGAAATTAAAAGTTAAAATATCAACGACGACATTTCGTGTACCTACATATGTGTATAGATCGATTCACGCTTCGAATCGCGCGACGACGACTGCAGCGACAACGTCGCAAAAAACGTATGCATAAAAGAGGCCTAACGCTCTTCTCGAGACTTTCTTAACCTACTTTTCGCTCGACGCGAGCATCGTTCTCGATCCATCGATCAAACGATTGATTTCGACCCGTCATATATATTCTACAAAACTGCGATGTATATACGAGCTCGTCGCCGCGGTTACCGCGAAATCGCAACAAAATTTTCGTCTACAAAAATTACGTCATTGTTTTCTTGATTTTAGAGAAGCTCCATTTACCGCGAGACATATACAGGGTGATTCAAAACGATTTTTCCTCGACGAAAAAGTCGAGACATCAATCATTTTCGAGTTATGAGAGTTTGAAAATAAGGGGTTTCTCGCAAACTAATTGTAAGCCTTGTGGAAATAAAATATTAACAAAATCACATTCTTTTATTAATTTTATGTAGAGTTTACTTTAATAGAATTTTAATTTAAGGCTTAATTACGAAGATACGTGATGGCATAAATTGGGAACATGCGAAAAATGATGGCTTCTCTCGACATTTTCGTTGAGGAAAAATCGTCTCCAAATGATCCCAGACATTTGCCATTAACAGGTCATTCGCGAGTTTTGGGTCACCCTGTATATCGAATATTTAAAACGCATTAAATCTGTCATTAACAGCCTAGAATTATTTCATCACGTCACAATTTTGAGAAATTTTTAATTAAAAGGGCCTTTTTCAACTTTGTTATATTGTAGCCACAATGTGACATGCTAGAGAAGTTTCATTACAATCAAAATAAAGCATATTGTTAGAACTTTCAACCCTCAAATGGAATTTTTCATTCGATCACAACGTACTTAATTTTTGCATTATTTTTACAACTTAAAAATTAATCAGGTTAACGTATGAATAACCAAACCACAGACTTCTATATATAGAAGTCTGTGGAGCAACCTGACACGATTGATTTTGACGACAACGTTTTGACCCTAAATTGAATCCCCTTCAAGTTACAAGTCTTTATACACAGTGATAATCAGTTTTTAACAATAAAAAGTTCATCGAAAAATTAATATTAAAAATTAATGAAAGATTTCTCAAAATTGCGAGATGATGGAGCATCAATTTGGATTCACATTCAGCATCGTTCTGGTGTTGGAAAACAATAGTTTTTTCTCGAACATTTATATAATACGAAATAATACATGTCCGATCGAGCATTCGGCGTTGACCGACGTGAAGTCAGGCCACACTCTCTTCGCGTTCTGGTCACTTCGCGGCCTCTTCCGTACCTGCTTGTGGGAGTGGTACTCGAACCAGGCGGCCTCGACGTTTCCTCCGTTAATGCCAATAAGGAATGCCGCCGGGTGTGCATTCCTCGGAGCAGAAATGTCGCGGACGGAGGAAAAGGGAGGACGGCTGAGACATCAAAAGAGAGTGCATAAAAAAGAGAATCGCGGCTTCCTTTGCACACCCGTACGCGATATTCTCGTAACGGCATACGACGCCGATCGATAACGGCAATCCGCAGAAAATTAGGAACGAGCGTTTAACTCTTTTGCCCTTAAT